CCGCTGCGATGCAGCAGGCGTAGCACTTGGGCACCCAAAGGAGGGGGCGCCCGGGGTGGGGACACTCCAGGATTCGCGCCAAGATCGTAGGGACGTCTGAGTCGGTTTGTTTGGTTGTTGCCCCTTCCCCAACACCACTTGCTTTTGGAGCATATTCTGAGGATGTCTCATGCGAGACGCTGGCTTCAGCACTCCTGGGGGGGGGGGGGCGGGAGGGGGGGGCACGACAGGATTCGCGCCCAGGTTGTAGGGACGTCTCATGCGGTTTGCCTGTTTGCACGCCCAGCCCCCCGTGTTTGCGGGAGAGATCTTGTGGAAGTCTCTTGCGAGGCGTTGGCTTCAGCATTCCCGGGGGGGGCGGGCGCGCTAAGGGGGGGGCGGCAGTCCAGGAGCCGCGCGCAGGTAGTGTGGACTTCTCATGCGGTTTGCATGTTGTTTTCGGAGCCAGTTCTGAGGATGTCTCAGGCGAGGCGCTGGCTTCAGCACTCACTCCCAAGGGGGGGGGGTGGCGCGCAAGGTGTGGGGACATTCCAGAATTCGCGCCCAGATTGTAGGGACGGCTCAGGCGGTTTGACTGCTTGCATGCCCAACACCCTTTGCTTTCGGAACAGATCTTGAGGATGTCCGTTCCACCAGTCCTCAGGGGGAGCGTCAGGGGTGGGGACATTCCAACATTCGCGCCCAGATTGTGCGGATATCTTAGGCGCCTTGCCTGTTTCGGAACATAATTTCCTTTACTTTCGGGTCAAATTCTGAGGATGCCTCAGGCGATGCGCTGTGGGGATGTCTTAGGCGGCTTGCTTGCTTCGCAACGTAACACCTTGTTCTTTCGGCACAGGTTCTGACGATATCTTAGGAGAGGCGCTGGGCTCAGTACTCAGAAGGGTGGCGGCGCAAGGGGGTGGGGACACTCGAGGGCTCTTGCTCAGATAGGTGGGACGTCTCAGGCGGACTGTCTGTTACTGCCCCCCACCAGGCTTTGATTCTGCCCTCTCAGACTTGTGTTCTCACTTGTGTGCTCCCGACTCCTTCACCTCACTCCATCATCTCCGGACCTACACATGCTTACTCGCTCATGCTCAGACTCGTGCAAGCACATATCCATTCACACACACACACACCCCAGATCAATTCACATCCAGACTCACTTACACTCAGACTCGCCAGCCTTCAGACACACGCATACTCAGACTACCTCGCACTCCGACCCGCTCGCATTTAGACACGCTTGCACTCAGACTCACCCGTGCTCACCCATCGTACTCATATTGGCTATTTCCAGACTCGCTCACACTCAGGCTCGATCGTAACCGGATCCACTCACACTCCGACTCGCTCAAATTCACAGTCAGATCACCCACGCTCATATTCACTTGCACTAAGACAACTCACACGGTTTCCGCGATCTGGCCGGCGTGGCACCCCAAATGCCCGCAGGTGCCGCGAGCAGTATGCCACACAGCGTGCGTAACAACGCCATGCGCGCTTGCCTGGGTTGCTGCGGGGAGAACTGCAAGAGGAACTCCCCCTCTTTTGTTTCACTTGTGATTCATTCGTCTTTCCTGAAAGATGCCCAGAAATGGAGGAGGACGCGACTGAAGTCGTCGCTGTCGTCGTCATTTCCGCACCTGTTGCCTACACGGGCTCCCTCTCACAGTCAGATACTCCCAGACAGAGTTCCTCAGCGTGACGTGACAGGGGTATGAGATGCACATCTGGGGATCTCCGCGTCGAGTAACCGTTTACATCAGATGATGAAGGTTGGGCCGCGTGGATGCTTGCAAAATGTCAGATTTTCCCCGGTTCCGTAGCATGGTGAGGTTTCGGTCTGACGTGTGTGCATTGGATAGAATGTGCAGCATTGAATTGTGATGGTTGAGCGACGCTACCGCAAGAACCACAGTTTGAAAGAGACCCGGGCTCCATCCTTGTAACTGTTGCAAGTTTATTTCTGGCGCGTGTGCGCGGCAATAGGGCGAAAATCACATTTTGGAACCACCCGGGCTCCATCTTTGAAACAGTTGCATCTTATTGAATCGCTTCGCTCATTCCGCCGGCCCGTGATATGGCATCGCTGGTCTTTGTCTGTGTGTTCGTTGCCCATGTTGCGCTCTTGGGGGCGGGTGTCGTTCGGACGCGTTGTGTGGGGAGTTTTGATGGTGAAGCAGTTCCCTGGGGGTCGTCTCTCGATGGGGCGAAATAGGGTCGTCGTCAAGATGCTTCTTTGGGGGGCCTCTTGGGGTCTGTTGAGAGGCCGTTCGGGGGCGCCTGGGAGACATGTTTGAAGCCTTCTGGGGCTTCTTTTGGGCCTCCTGGGAGTCTCCTGGGGCCTCTTGGCGACATCTTGGGGCCTCTTGGAGGCCTCTTGGGGCCTCTTTGGGACCTCCTGGGCGCCTTCTGGGACGGAGGGCTCCATTTTTGAGTTCTCGGTATCCCTCCTGAGTCCCTCTTGGGCCCGTCTTGGGGCCTCTTGGTCCGTCTTGGGCGGCACTTGGGCCGTCTTGAGGGCTCTCTTGGGTCGTTTCGGCGCCGTCTTGGGAGCTTCGTGGGCCGTCTTGGAGCGGTCTTGGGGGCCTCTTGGGCCGTCTTGGAGCGTCCGGAAGCCGAAAAAGCCAGAACACAAAAAACATAGAAAAAACCAATGAAAATCAACGATTTTGGCCTCTTGGGGCTCTCTTCGGAGGCCTCTTGGAAGGCTCTTGGGGCGTCTTGGAGGCCTCTTGGGCTGTCTTGGGGGCCTTTTGGGCCGTCTTGGGGTCATCTTCGGCGTCTTCGAGCGCTCTTTGGGCGTCTCGGGGGCCTCTTGGGCAGTCTTGGGGGCCTCTTGGGGCACTCTGAGCGCGCTCTGGGGAGCCTGAGAGGCCGCACCCAGAAGGAAAACCATCTCTGAGTAGACTTGGTCGGGCGGCGGTCGGGCGGCGGTCGGGCGGCGACCGGGCGTTGGTCGGGGTACTTTTCGCCGGGGGACCCCCAGGGGCCGCCCCGCGCGCGCGAACTAGAAATACTGTTAATACTGTTAATCAGTTACCGGAGATCTTAGCACGCCCTGGCCCGTTGGGCCGGCGAATTTGCTCCATCTTTGAAACAGTTGCATCTTATTTAATCGCTTCGCTCATTCCGCCGGCCCATACGGTCTCATGTCTGCCGTTTGCCCGAGGGCCTGGTGTCAATGCGGCGTTTTGGGGGTTCCTGGGGCCGCTTGGGGGGCTCCTGGGGCGCTCGGGGGGGCATTTGGGGGGCCTCCTGGGGCCGCTTGGGGGACTCTTGGGGGCCTCCTGAGGGCCTCGTGGGGGCCTCTTGGGGCCTCTTAGGGGCCTCGTAGGGGCCTCGTAGGGGCTTCTTAGGGCCGAGGGCTCGAAATTTTGTTTCGTGTTCCCTCTCTGGGGCCCCTTTGGGGGTGTTCTTGGGGCCCTCTTGGACCGTCTTGGAGGCTTCTTGGGCCGTCTTCGAGCCCTCTTGGGCCATCTTGGGGCCCTCTTGGGGGCCTCTTGGGCCCTCTTGGGGCGATCTTGGGGGCCTCTGGGGCCGTCTTGGGGCGTCGGGAACCGAAAAGGTGGAAGCTCCAAAATCTCTCAAAAACCTAAGGAAAAACAATGAATTTTGCCTCCGGGGGCCCTCTTGGGAGTGCTCTTGGAGGCCTCTTGGGGCGTCTGGGGGCTATCTTGGGCGTCTTGGAGCGATCTTGTGGCATGTCGGACCCCTCGTGTACCATCTTGGGGGCCTCTTGGGGGCCTCTTGGCCTTTCTTGGGGCTCTCGGGGACGTCTCGGAGCCCTGTTGGTGCGCTCATGGAGCGCTCCTGGAGCGCTCTGGGGGACTCCTCCCGGGACTCTCTCAGGACCTTGCCGGGGTACTTTTCGTCCGGGGACCCCCAGGGGCCGCCCCGCGCGCGCGAACTAGAGAATTGTTAACCAGTTACCGGAGATCTTAGCACGCCTCTGGCCCGTTGGGCCGGCGAATTACTGCGAATGTGTGCTGCGCTAAAGCGATAATCACATTTTGAAAGCCATCCGGGCTACATCCTGGAAATGTTCAGCGAGGACGTCCCAGATGAAACGCCCAGCCCAGCCTACGGACACGTCCAGTGGTGAGACGGGGGTAAGTTATCGAAGCGGCAGAGGAATGGAGGTGGAGGAAGAGGAGTAGGAGGAGGACGTGGCGGATAAGCTGCACGATGAGCAGGACGAGGAAGAGGAGGATGAAGAAGGAGGGGGAGCGCGGATACGAATAGCAGCACCAGGAATTGGAGTCGAGGTGGACCGGACAGGAGGGAGACGATAACGATGAGGAACGCATCGGCTCCCGAAACATGTCCTGCGCTCGGGCGAGAACACCATGCTGAACGACAGGAGCAGCGCTCCCACCGTAAACTGAGACCAGCGCTGCAGCGGGAACATTGTTTGTAAGGGCCGAGATCACGTCGATTGTAACATCATGTCAAAGCAAGCAGTGCAATATTGTGCGTAAGAAATAAGGAGGACGTGGAGAGGGCCGAATATCTCCCAGACGAAGTCGGGGGAACGAGGAATGGAGAATTCATAACGTGTGATAGGTAATCATGAAGGAAGGGCAAGAGGAGGAGGAGGACGACGAGGAGGAGGAGGAGAAGGAGGAAGAGGAGGAGGAGGAGGGGCAGGAAGAGGAGGAAGAAGAGGAGGAGGAGGAGGAGGAGGAGAGCCGAGGAGGAGGAGGAGGGGGAGGAGGCGGAAGAGGAGGGAGAGAGGAGCAGGAGGAGGAGCAGGAGGGGAGAGGAGGAGGAGGAGAGAGGAGGAGGAGGGAGGAGGAGGAGGAGGAGGAGGAGGAGGGGGAGAGCCGAGGAAGATAAGGAGGGGGATGAGGGGGAAGAGGAGGGAGAGAAGAGGAGGGGGAGGAGGAGGAGCAGGAGCAGGAGCAGGAGCGCAGTAAAGGAGAGAGCAGAGAGGAGAGAGCAGAGAGGAGAAGGAGGAGGAGGAGCAGCAGGAGGAGGAGCAGGACAGGGGAGCATCCTCCCCGTGACCCCAGGGCGAGCCCGGCAGGGAGGACCGGCCCGCCAAGGGCCAGAAGTTCGGGGCCGCCGCGGACAGCGGCGTCGGCAAGAAGAAGTCGAAAAGGCCATCCGCGGCTGCTGTCTCTGTGGGAGAGGGGCCGTATTTGATGTGTACATATATGAGGCGTTCCAGAATGGGCCTCGTTTTCGAGGGTCGAATTAGTTGCCACCTCTTCCCGGGCGGAAGTAAAACGAGGCCGTCTCCGCCGGCGGAAGCTGGCGGAGACTGGCGGAAGTAGAAAATGCGCCCCCAAGAGAGATGAATCCGTCATATCATTTACTTGTGTGTATACGCCAATACATACCCCTCCGCCACCACCGAAGCGGGGGGAGTGTTTCTCTCAAGCGACAATGGCTGTGAACCGCCCTCCGGGGACCACGCTGCTGGCAGGCGGGGAAGGCCCAATCGCACGGGCGGGCGCACCGAGCACGGTCCGGAGGTGGCCACATTGCACCGTACCGTGGGGGACCGGCCTTCCAGGCGGGCGCCCCGAGCACGGTCCGGAGGTGACCAAATCGCATCGTGCCGTGGGGGACGGGCCTCCCGGCGGCGGGCGCCCCGAGCACGGTCTTGGGAGGGGGAGGCAAGTCGCACCGTATCGTCGGGGACCTGCCTCCCGGGCGGGCGCCCGCAAACCAGCCAAGCAGCCCAACCAGCCTGACCCGCACAACCAGCCTAACCTGCCACCGCGTCATTCCGCCCATTCCCGCCACCTCCGAGGGTGGAAGGAGCAGCGACAACGGATGTGAACTGCTTTCCCGAGGCCAGGCTGGCAGCTGAGGGGGGCCGAATCGCACCGTACCATGGGGGACCAGTCTCCTGGGCGGGTGTCCCGAGCGCAGTCGGAGGCCCTGAATGCGTTATTGCCATGGCTTTCCGCACTTGCTAACATCCACGCCCTCAAGACTGTCATCACTTTTTAGGCCCCCAGTGTCCACGCAGGAGACGTCCAACGGGTCCCCAGCCGCCGTCGAAACCAATTGCCCTAGTCAGCACACCAGCCAGCCCAACTAGCCCGCCCGTAAGCCGCCGTAAACTCGCCAAGCAGCCCAACCAGCCTTACCCAACATCACGCCAATCCGCCTAGTTACCCCTGCCGTCTGCCCTTCGTCACCACCGGCGACCCGCAGGGGCGCGGGGAGCGGAGAGGGGAGCGGAGCATGGTGTTCTGGGCGCTTGCGAGTCGTAGCGCTCGGAGGCGCTCGGAGGAGCAGGAGAAGGGGAGTAGGAGTAGGAGTAGGGGTAGGAGGAGGTGGAGGAGGAGACGGGGGAGGAGGAGAAGGAGGAGGAGGAGGAGCAGGAGGAGGAGGAGGACAAGGAAGAGGCCAAGAGCAGGGGCATGCGGAAGACTATGAGGAAAAGAGGGAGGGTCAGGAGGGACACATCAACTCACATGAAATAGCAAACGCATGAAGCAGGCGGGACGGAACAAGTAGGAAGGAGGATAAGGAAGGACACGGGAGGGAAATCAGTTGGCATCACAATTTTCCAAATCGCAATTTCGATCGAATTGGTTTCCACTCCTGCGAGGGGCGTTTCAGGATATATCCTTACACGCATAAATATAGAGTACGTGACATATATGTGTGTACGCATGTATGGATGTATGTATGCATGTGTGTGCATGTATACACGCATGCATGTTTGTATGTATGCTTGTGTGTATGTATGCATGTATATATGCATGCATGCATGCATGCATGCATGCATGCATGTATGTATGTATGTATGTATGTATGTATGTATGTGTATAATTGTAAATATGTATGCATGCATGCATGTATGTATGTATGTATGTATGTTTGTATGCATGGACGTATGTATGTATGTATGTATGTATGTATGTATGTATGTATGTATGTATGTATGTGTGTGTATGTATGTATGTATGTATGTATGTATGTATGTATGTATGTATGTATGTGTATATATGTATGTATGTATGTATGTATGTATGTATGTATGTATGTATGTATGTATATATGTATGCACGTATGTATGTATGTGTGTATTCATGTATGCATTCATGTAGGTGTGTATGTATGTATGTATAGATGTATGCACACATTTATGTATATATGTATGTATGCGTGTATGTATGTATGCAATGTAATGTAATGTAATGTAATGTAATGTAATGTAATGTCATATAATGTCATGTACTATAATGTATATAATGTATGTATGTATGAATGTATGTATGTATGTATGCATGCATGCATGCATGCAGGCATGTATGCATGCATGTAGATGAGTAGGTCGGTAGGTAGGTAGGTAGGTAGGTAGGTAGGTAGATAGGTAGGTAGGTAGGTAGGTATGGATGTCTGTATGTCTGTATGTGTGTATGTATGTATGCATGCATGCACGCATGTATGTATTTCAATCATGGATACACGAGTGGGGAGCCACAGAGTTGTGGAGTCAGCGTTTCAGCCACGTTCGCAGGACGCCGTTGTTTTTTCTGCACGGGCGGATATTCCGCAGCAAAAGCATACGGTGGCACTTGTCGGGAGTTCGTGGTTATCGCGTTGGGAGCGCATGCGCCCATACTACATATTACGTATGGATACCTTACTTGCTGATCATAAGGACGTGATCCTGTCTGGCGGTCGGGCAGCTCCGTGGTCGCTCTCGCCGCCACACCGTCGCCGCCTCGTCGCCGCCCGTCGTCTGGGCCTGCATTGCTGTGCAATGCTTCGCATTGCGTTGCATTGCCTTGCATCGCTATGCATCGCTCGCATGGCATTCCATTTTCTCCGCACTGCGGTGCAATCGCATTGCGATGCATGGCTTGAAATTGCTTTTCGTTGCACCAAATAGATTGCACTACGTATACTGCATAACGTCCATTGCACAACGTAGGTTGGAAAACATACATTGCGCAAAGTAGATTGCACCGCATGTATTGCACACTCCAGATTCTTTGAAACACCCTGTTTGGGTTGCACGTTGCATCTCTGTATTGCGAAGGCCTTGCGGCCGGTGCCGCCGACCCTGAAGGGGGACGTCGACAACGAAGGCGGCGGTGGTGGCGTCGACGACGACGATGTTGACGTGGGCCTGAGTCTTCAGGGATACTTCTTGGCGTCTCTTGGGAAGGCTCCCGGGAGCCTCCGGCGAGGAATTTGGGGGTCGTTTTGGGGCCTCTAGGGTGCCTTTTTCCGGGTGTCCTCAATAGCCAGTTTGGTTCAAGCCATTTTAGGTCAAGATGTCATCCTCAGGAGGCCGCCGCCCTTGTGAACGAAATGGTACCGCTAGCCCGCGGCAGTCAGGGAAGCTTGCTGCTCGGCAATCGGTCTCCCCCGTGCGCGCGCCGCTGTGCCATTGCGCCGACAGCAGGGTGGCAGAACAAGCGGAAGCAGGGAAACGGCCAGTGGTCGTGCTCGTGTGGCATCACGGACAACTACGCGACGAGGAAGAAGTGCCGAGGCTGTGGAGCTCAGGCAGCAAGGCAGGGCACGTTTTTCAAGGAACTTGTGCTGGCCCCCACCAAGCGCGAAGTTGCCATGCAAAGAAGTTGGACGCAATGCGCGAAGAGCTCCTTTCGCTCACGAAAGAGTGTCACCGCGGCATGGAGAGCGGCCTGGACGAGCCGCAGACGAACCTCACCAAGCTGCACATTGGGCGCAGGTCTGCAAGACAGAGTGGCAGGAGACGTCGACGGAATATCTGGTCGCCCAAGGCAAGAACCAAAAGGCGCGGAACGCGAAGGACCGTGCTAAGCCGCACGTATTGCAGCTCACTCAGGCGCGCATCGCAAAAGAAAAGGCAGAGAAGAAAGTGACAGGCCTACAGGAGGAAGTGCAGCGGCACGAGCAGCAGTTGCCGGATGCTCGGGGGCGCCCGGCGAGGAAAGAAACACAGGCGAATACAGCAAGGGCCCGAGAGCAGGAACTCAAGGTGCAAGGTGTTGCAGACGCCTCCCAATGATTCTTCACGGCCATGTAGAAACAGTACGAGAAGGCGGTCGAAGACAGCGGTGCCACCCCTCAGGAGTACGAGCAGTTATTCACCCAGCTGAGCAGGGCCATGGCCAACGCGAAGGAACGCGCACGGATGGCTCCTTCGCCTGGGGCTCCTGGCGCTGCAGCTGGGGGTGATGGCGGAGGCGCAGCTGGCGGTCCGGACGACGGACCTGAACTGACTGAGCCCGAGCAAGAGTGGTTTAAGGCGGGAGGGGCACCAGAGGGAGCCAGCGACGAGCAAAAAAAACAGTTGTTGTAGATCTGCACCGGTCTGGCTGCGCACTCGGCCAAGCGGCAGAAGCACTCCTAACACCGTGTGCGGCAAAAAGAAGAAGCTGTGCGACACTTCCACGGTTTGGACCTTCAGCGGCTCGGGCTGGGGCACCATCGAGGAGAAGCTAGGCGAGAAGGTGCAGGGCACGCTGCAGCGCTACGCAGTGCAGGAGCATCATCTCGCTGAGGATAAGTGGCCTGTGGTCACGCAGTGCATGAACGCGCAAGGTTACCAACTGGGTGGTGCCGCAGCTGTGCCGACGACGGGGCCAGCAGGCGAGGTGGGCTCTTCAGCTGGAGTAGCAATGGCAGCGCCGAGGTGCGTAGGCATGACGTGCCTGCACGGCCAGGACAAGTGGGACAGATCACCGAGGGGGGGGCCCTGGTCGTGCAGCTGCGGCCTGGGTCTCGGTCGGCAAGGGCGTAGTGATCGCGTCCATCGACCTGTGGACGGCGACAGGTATGTCGTACCGCAAGAGGGAGCTGCTGACTCACGTCGTAGAGCAGCTGCAGACGCTGGGAGTGCCGTGGATCGTGGGCGGCGGCTTCCAGGTGACCCCTTAGGTCCTGGCCGAGGTCGACAGCATCAAAGTGGCAAAGGCGCGTGTGTTTGCGCCGCGCGTAGCATGCGGCGCATGCACGCGCACCTACGGGATCAGCGATGATGATTAGTTCATAGTGTCCGACTCGGTGAAGGCGCAGTTGGCAGGCATACGCGCGCAGGAGGGGTGGCCACCGACGCTGCGCAAGCCTGTCGGAATCGCGATCAAGCTGACGGTGGTCGAGCGCAACGTTAGGCTTGTGGAGGGGCCGAAGCCCGTGCCCGAACTGCAAATAGGTTGTGCCTCTGCGCCGCCAAGATACGAGCAGGTGGTCGGCTTCATCTCGGAGGAGGTCGCGAACCAGGAGTGGGCCAAGTACATTCGCGCGCGCACGGCGTCTGCCTGCCGCCTGGTTTGGGCCTTCTGCTTGGCAAGGCGGGCGCGTGATCCAGCCCTGCCGGCCAGGTGCGGGGGGGGCGTGAGCAGAGCTGGAGATCTGGGGGAGTACATTCGCGCTTTCGAGAAGGAGGCCTTCGCGATCAGGGGCATGGCACGGGCCGAGAAAGACCCGCGCGCATGGCGGTCGGAGGCGCCGAAGTGGCGGATCACGCCGCTCACCTTCGGAGGCGACAGCTTCTCGGCGGCAGCGCGGCAGGCCACTTGGTGGAGATGCCCGGCTAGGTCCCTCAGGAACCTGCAGGGGGCGCGCCAGAGGCTGCATGCGACGACGGAGCAGTGGGACATGCGCACGAGAGAAAGGATGCAGCGTGAGAAGCTGTTCAAGATAAGGAACCGGCGCACGAAGCACTTGGCGGCCAAGGGGCAGGGCGCGCGGCAAGCGCGCTGCGAGCTGTTGGCAACGAGGCGCCGGAGAAACTGCGCGGAGACAGGAAAGCTTCGAGAGTTGCGCTCGGAGGCGGCTTGCAAGTCCAAGGAGTGCCACCAGCAGCTGGTAGAAGGGGAGGCGCGCGAAGTGAGCTGACATGTTGGAGGCAGCTGAAACAGCGTCGACAGGAGGCTTGCATCAGCTCAGCAAGCCAGCGCCAGCGCGGGGGCCGAGGCGCGCAGACACCATGGAGAAACCAGCGGGCCCGATGGAGGCAGCGGGGTTCGCGCTGAAGGAGCGGGCGGCAGTATGGCACGCGGGCGACCCCATACAGTCGCAAGTGAGGCCGCGGGAGGTCGAGGCCAGAGAGCAGCCCGACGACTACGCGGAGGAGGATGGCGCTTTGCTGAACGGTGTGGCACGAACGTTCTGAAAGAAGACGGGGGTTGGAGTTGGTCGATGGCATCATTCGTTGCTGCCTGGCGCGTTCGACGGCACCTACGAGACGCTTCAAGACATACTGCGCTAAGTGGAGGAGACGCTAATATGGCCAGTGTACATGGGCACGGCCCTTTCCTTTATGATTCCGAAGGCCATCATCGCGCATAGGGTGATCGGGCCGCTGCCGACCAAGAGCAGGATCTGGGGGGTCATGCGCGAGCCGCGCATTTTGAAGTGGGCGATGGAGAACCATTCCTCTGGCGGGGCCTCCCTCGAAGGGGGGGGTATCGCGAAACCTGAAACATAGCATGGTCTACTGATCCCCTGCTCGCTCTGTCGGGGCCTCCCTGGAGGGGTGGGGGGAGTGGGGGCTTCCGGGAATGAGAGCCCCATTGCCTTGCCACGCGTTGATGACATGGGAACGCTGAACTGTTCAGAACCCCATTGGCCTGCCACGCGTTAGTGAACTGGGAAAGCGAAACAGATGATAATCCCAAGGTCTTTGCCACACGTTCGTGACTTGGGAAAGCTGAAATAGTGAGACTCCCGTAGACCTGCGACACTTTCGTATTTTATGAGAATCCCAGATCCGTCCCACACTTTCGCGGTCTTGTTGCTCTTCAACGTAAGAGGATCGCAAAGTTGATTCGTACTCTACCAGGCGATAATGAAGATCGACCTCGCCGATCCTTTTCCCCGGCCAACACTGTTCCGGGTTAGTCAGCCCTCAGGGATTAAGGGGGGTTCAATGTATTGTGCGGGGCGCGCGGTTATGCGGTTTTTGCGGGAGTCAGGGCATCCGAAAACCTCTCCCCGCGACTGGTGAGCATCGAGGGCAAAATCTGGCGTTCCCCACGCCTCTCCCTCCCTCCCTTCCTCCCTCTCTTCCTGCCCTGCGGTAGCGAGGTCCATGCCCTCCACCTTCCAGACCGTCCACCCAGAAGGTGTGGAAGGTGTTTGTGTCTCATTTGTCTCTGTTTGTCTGCGTTCGTCTCCTTTGTCTGCGTTTGTCTGCGTTTGCTTGCTACATCGTCATCATCATCATCATCATCATCATCATCATCATCATCATCGTCATCGTCATCGTCATCGTCATCAACAACAACTCAGTTATCACTGTCATCTTCCTCTTCCTCCTCCTCTTCCTCCTCCTCCTCAGCTCCTCCTCCTCCTCCTCTTCCTCTTTCTCCTCCTCCTCTTCCTCCTCCGCCTTCTCCTCCTGCTCCTCCTCCCCCTCCTCTTCCTCCTCCTCCTCCTCCTCCTCCTCGTCCTCCTCCTCCTCTTCCTCCTCCTTTTCCTCCTCCTCCTTCTCCTCCTGCTCCCCCTCCGCCTCCTCCTCCTCCTCCTCCTCATGTCCGTGCCTTTCTCGGGCGCTCCTAGAGCCGTTTCGGGCTCCTGCTGCGACGGCCTCAGCTCGCTTGTCCTCCACCGCGTTACCTTCATCCTCGTCGTCCTCCTCCTCCTGATCCGTCTTCTCCTTCTCTTCCCCCATCACCATATTATCCCTCCTCCTTTTCCTCTTACCATCTTGTTCCTCTCCCTCCTCTTCCCTCCTTTGCTTATCCTCCTTCTCCTCATCGGAGAGGCGTCGCCCAAGAAAAGAAGCGCGAAGCGCTTTTGATGTATTTGTGGTCAAGGGCGAGTGCATGTGTGAAACAATTGCACGTGTGAAACAAAGGCATGGCGACGCATGGCGTGAAAGGATCGACCGTCGCGGCATTCTGCACCACAAAGCATTGCTTCTCGGATTCGAGCCCGCGGGGCGCGCGCCGACAACGCTCCCCGACTGTCAGCTCGAGGAACAGCAGGAGGAGGAGGAGGAGGCAAATTGAGCAATTGTGATACGAATGCCGTACTTACATCGTCATCAAAAATTCCATAACCCATTTTGTCAGCCATGTCTCGCAACATTTAGGGCGATACAATCCAAAACTGCGCACCTTCGTGCTGTAATTCTCGCTCTCGTCGGCGAAATTTGCAGTGCACCCTGGATTCCCCGACCACGCCGCCTGTTCGTGAAAATGGCGGCCGAACGCGTGCCACTTCATGGCCACGGGCTGATTGTCGGCCTGCCACGATTGCACGCACACGCGGGTAACGTGTGCCAGATGAGCCAAAGCTTCATCCGACATGTGGCGAGGTTCCCTCCTACATATATTGATATACTCACACATGGCCTTGCCACATTTAAACAGGTGCGTTCCCGATTCTGCACGCCTTCGATTGAGCACATCTTCGCCGCCCTTAGATTCAAGTAAGTGCACAAAGAACGGTAGCAGATACCTCGATTTGGCAGCTTTCAATGAGATCGAAGGGTTATCAGCAGTCGTGTCCACCATTGCAGAAGAAAGGTGTGTGACCCGAAGGTCGGATGAGATGCCCTTCTGGTCGTAGTACAGCCTAGCACTTTGCTGAAGCTCCATATCTGCAGCGTCAGGCTCTGCCGTAGACCACGGTCCAAAAAATGATGCAAGCAACAAATCAATGAGCACTCTTGCGATATAGTATTGCAGGATGCCAAGTTCAACTACGTGCATTGAGTCATGCAACATATGCTTTGACGTCAGGCCGACGACCCCCGTCTGATGGGGAAGGTCCAGCAAACGGTTCAAGAAAAGAGCTGCGTGCTTTGGACGTCGGTACACCCAGCACACACGTTTCTCTGGGGGTGCTGTATATACATATTCACCGTGGATAAAATCAGGATGTCCCAGCCGCGCAGGTTCCACCCTGTCGCCCCTTTTTAATTCTGGCATGCAATCAAGTTTTCTTTTCAAGATGAGACCTCCTTTCTTTTTCCGCGCCTGCAAGTTTGCCCTGAGCATCGGGACGTCCGCGTCGCTGATGGGGGTGCAAATCATGCACGTAGTAGCTAGATCTTGATACCATTTGTGCGTGCGCGGCCTTACAGGTGAATCCAGATCACCGAGATGGTCGCAAGATGCAAAGCAGGCAATACAACCGTGACGGGCACGATGGTGAGGAAGTCCCAATGTTTTTGGGTATTCATCGAGGTCACAACTTATCTCACAACACACAGCGCGAATGAGCCCACCAGAAGATGATTTGCCGAACAACGGCGCTCCCCTCATGAGCGCTCTCCGCGAACCCTCCTGCCATTGAGTTCCCATGGCGTCCACCGACGGCCATTCACCAGAGGCGCAGACATTCATTGCCCACGCAACTACCTCAAGTAAAGGTTGAATTGTGTGCGAGCCTCTGCACCCACATTTGCACATGAGCGACCCTGGATAACTCCCGATGGGGACCCGCGCTTTCTGTCCAATGACTGACGCGAAGATCCGCCCGCCCAGGGTTTCGACCTCGGGCGTCCTCCTGCGCGTCATATTCTTCTTGTTCATCATATGCCCCCCTCCTCCTCCTCCTCCTCCTCCTCCTCCTCCTCCTCCTCCTCCTCCTCCTCCTCCTCTATCTCCCCTCGCCCGTTTCCTCTCGAAGTTGTCCTCGCTCTCCTCCTCCTCCTCCTGCTTCTTCTCCTCCTCCCCCCCTCCTCGTCCTCTTCCTCCTCGTCCTCCTCCCCCTCCTCCTCCCCTTCCTCCTCCTCCTCCTCGTCCTCCTCCTCCTCCTCTTTTCACCGCCCTCCCACCTCCTCCTCCTCCTCCTCCTCCACCTTGCGTCGGTCCTCCCCTCTTTTCACCGCCCTCCCACCTCCCGCCCCCTCCCTCGGCGGTGGCAGAGGCGGCGAGCCCAGCATGTTGAGGGCCGACGCATGCCCGTCGATCCTGGCGTAATCTAGAAATCCGCCACCGTGCCCCGAGGCGCGAAGTCCGCCGCGCGGCCTCGTCGAACTGCCCGAGGGCCCCGAGACGGGCCACGAGGGCCCCGAGAAACGCCCCAGAGAGCCAGGGATGCTCCCAAGACAGCCCAAGAGCGCTCCAGGGAGCCCAAGCTGGCCCCGCAACTGCGCGTGCTGGCCTCAGCGTTCTCGCATTCTCTGGCTTCGGGCCAAGACCGCCCGAGAGACCCGCCCCACGACGGCCCAACAAGGTCACAATACGGCCCAGCAACCGCACGCGACGGCCCAAATCGTGTCCCGAAGCTGCCCTAAAAATGCCACACACACGCACGCACGCACGCACGCACGCACGCACGCACGCACGCACACACACACACACATACACACACACACACACACACACACACACACACACGCACACACGCACACACGCACACACGCGCACACGCGCACACGCACACGCACACGCACACGCACACGCACACGCACACGCACACACACGCACACGCACACGCACACGCACACACACCAGATCTGGCCCCAAGAGGGCCACCATGAACTCCCAAGATGCCCGAAAGAGGCGTCGGGCGGCCCCCAAGACACTTGAGTAGCGGTCTGACAGGTGTTCCCAAACTGCACCACAAAGGCTCCCGAGAGGCGCCCCAGGGGCCCTGACATGCCTCGAAGGGGCCACTGACCCACAACGCAGACACGGCGGCAGGGCGGGCCGAAGGCCACACGATAACCTGATCGGGATACAGTTGTGTCCACCGTATTTCTGGACAATTGCGTGCTTCCAAAACGACGCACACAGAAGAGACGGATCAACACGGTGAGCGAGCCAGTCGCCACAATGTTTTGTAAACATTCGGGCTAATATCTCATGCAGTGGTAAGAACGGAAGGTACTTGATCTCAGATACCTTCCCTTTTCTCACGTGGGTCGGTGTTCTGAACCA